TTTTTAATATTTATTTTTTAGTTCTCGGCGGACACAACATCTTTGTTGGTATGTGGTGCTGAGGATCGAACCCGGGCCACACGCATGCCAGGCGAGCGCGCTACCGCTTGAGCCACATCCCCAGCCCCTATCTTGTTAAATTTCCATGTGAACTTGAAAATAATCTTTATTTTGTTGTTATTGAGTGCCATGTTCTACAAATGCCAGGAAGGTCACTTGTCTCCTGAATTCTTTCTGCTTACCTAATGTTTTCTCAGTTGTGGAGAGGATGACTGAAATCTCTGGTTATCTTTGTGAATCTGTGTTTTTCCCTGCAGTTCAGTTTTTCTTCATGTAGTTGAAGCTCTGGTTTAGCTGCATCAACATTTAGAATCATGGTGTCCTGTTGACGATCATCTTTACCTCTGAGTATATTCTTTTTTTGAGTGAGGTGTGGAAGATTGAACCAGCTCCTTGTGCACTGGAGGCAAGTGCTCTGTCGACTGATCTATATCCCTAGCCCGCATCTCTGATTGTATTTTCTTTTTCTTTTCTAGTTGTAGTTGGACACAATACCTTTATTTTATTCATTTATTTTTGTGTGGTGCTGAGGATCGAACCCAGGGTCTCTACCCCTGAGCCACAACCCCAGCCCTGATTATATTCTTGACTTTGAAATCTGCTTTGTTATTCATACCATTCTACCTTTCTTTTGATTAGTTTTAACAGGGGATGTCTCTTTCCATCCTTAATCTTCTAACACATTTGAATCTATGTTTAAAGTCATTTTCTTGGGGCTGAGGTATAGCTTAGGGTAGCACACTTGCCTAGCATATGTGAGGCCCTGGGTTCAATCCCCAGCATCACCATAATAACAAAAGTGTCATCTTCTCATAGACAGCACATACTTATTTTTGAAAATGTTCTTTCCTATTTCCACCTGATTTAATTTTCCTTAGGACTTTTTCTTTTCTTTTCTTTCTTTTTTTTTTTTTACATTTCCTGTAGTACACAGTGGTTGATAGTGCATTATTTGGTTGATAGTCAAATATTTGCATATTTGACTTTCTTTTTGTTTGTTTTTTTGTGGTGCTAGGGATTGAACCCATGGCCTTGGTAATGCAAGCACTCTACCAGCTGAGCTATATCCCCAGCCCAAGTTATTCTATATTTGAAAAAGACTTTTTGTTGCTTTCTTGCTGAACCGCTCTTTACATTTCCTGTAGTACACAGTGGTTGATAGTGCATTATTTGCGTTATTCTATATTTGACTTTCTTTTTGTTTGTTTTTTTTGTGGTGCTAGGGATTGAACCCATGGCCTTGGTAATGCAAGCACTCTACCAACTGAGCTATATCCCCAGCCCAAGTTATTCTATATTTGAAAAAGACTTTTTGTTGCTTTCTTGTGTGTGTGTGTGTGTGTGTGTGTGTGTGTG